AGAAATGAAAATCAGTCGCAAAAGGGTTAATTTTGAAGGCTTTGCAAAGCTCCCAGAGGAGTGTGACTGAGACGGGTGGTTGGAGCACCTGGGATGTTATTTATGATGTATTGAAGGCTGTCAACAGCATTCTTCCGGAGAATTTCGCCTCCAAGGGGAAGTCATTAAAAGAGGAATCACTGCCACACCGGAATGGATAAAGCCTTCCAGCTTCTACTTTAATCCCTCTGACCTTGGAGATGAATTTCTTTTTTATTTTTTCTCCTTGTTGATTCTTCTTGGTCTTCAGTCATCGACTATTATTTATATTTTCATCCAGGGCAGGATATGGTGAAGAGATACGGATGTCAGACAAACCAGATTCCAATGTTGACTCTGATGCATTCTCACCAGGGCCATGGGTAACTAGGACCCAGAAACTCCTCATCTGAAAAATGGGAATAACTGCATTTGATTAATAGGATTGTTGTAAAGATGAAAATTAATTGCATTTGGAAAAGGGTTCAGCCCAGTGAACAAGTGCTCAGTGAACAGCACGTCTTTCCTTGTCAAGTCCATTTTCTCTATGTAGAGCTTATTATTCTAAAAGAAAGGAGAATCCATCTCATGCTTCTCTGTGATCCCAGAGCTTAATCAAGTTGCTACACACCAAGACTGTTCAACAACTGCCCCTGTTTCCTGCCTGTCCTTGGAGAATATTGTTCCTAAAGAAAATGCAAATATGCAAAAGCCCCTACACAAGCTCCCCATAAATGTAGCCAACCAGTGGGAGGAGTGGACAGAAAGTAGCCCACAAAGGTCTGCAAGGTAGTTCAAGAGTGAGATGGGAAAAGAAACTGTCAGTATGAGCAAGAGTGTGGATGACCCAAACACCTTTTCCATTTCACTGGGCTTGAGATGAATTGTCCAAAACTTAGCTTCTTAAGTTTTCTCAAGTCAGGGCTAACTCAATATATAAAGAAGCAGTTTTCATTTTGTTCCATGGAAAGAAGATATTCATGTGAAATATGACATCTTATTTCAGTGTAGAAGGGGGCAAAGCCATAGCTTGTGGAAAAAAAAAAACATAGCTATGAGGCAATGACCTGAGAGCTTGTAAGAATGGAGCTCAGATCTTTGCATTAATCCCAAATATTTGAAAATGGTGAGAAAGAATATTTCTCCCAAAGAGGGGATGAATATGGATGATTTGTGCTGGCTTCCCTGGGCCTTGCAAAAGCATATGTTCACACCAAATCTCACTCTATGGACTATACACAAGATTAAACTTAAAGGAGATGAGATCAATATTGGAGCTCTGTCTGAGATCCCATCTCTTTAATACCTTTCTCATTTCCTTTAGTGGTAGAAATAGAGCTAATCGCTGTTTTTCAAATAGATGTTTTGCATTTTTTGATGGGGTGAATGAAATTGAATTAGATGGATCTGGAGTGGTTATTAGAACCATTACATTTGGCATAATGGACATACCTAGAGAAAACATTTACATAAGGAAATCAAAGTTGGACTCGTTTTTAAAAATCCAATGCTCTGACCTCTTGGAGTTCTGACAAGCAAGATATATCTGAATATTTCCGAAGATGGTACATATAACAGTAAAATGCATCCCTTAAGATACTTATATAAATAAAAATTTCCTTTTGCTTAAAATAAAAACTACCCCCCCCCAGCAAAGAAGTCTTTTGAAATATTTATAGGCATATTTTTCATTTGGATCTGTATTTAGATTTTACTTTCATTTAGAATATAATTCTGACACCTCCATCATTAATGCCATCCCTGGCAATATTCCATGAAAAAAACTCTACTGTAACACAAGATCTAGATGTGAAAAGGATTATGATGTCATGTTTAAAGAAGGGGAAAGAAAATTAAAATAAGAGACCTATCTGAAATGATCAGAAATGAAATTCTCTTTGGGATAAAATGATCTCTTACAGAAATGCAGCCATTTAAAATAAGATTAGAGTGATATTTTATAAGAACTAAAGCAGAATACAAACTGTCTTTCTCTGAATAAAAAATTTGCATACAATGAACAGTAAGTGAAAATGAGGCATTTTGGGGCAATTAGACTGAAGCTTTTCCACTTTGCTTAGCAATTTCTCAACACAAGCTTCTACATCAATAACATCAGAGTTCTGCGTTAATTATGTAAACTCTAGAGCCCCCTCCCATCAGAATCAGATTGTCTGGGGAGGATCTGCATTTTAAACAATCCCCCTGATAATTCTAAAACCCACTGGTATTTGAGAATCTCTGTTTTGAAGGCTTTCTGGAAAGTACAGGTGAACTAGGCCAGAATTCAAAGAACTCTCATCTCTGCCAACTCCATTCAGTGGACCTATTTTTCTATCTCTTCTACCAAAGTGACCTTAATCGCTCAAGGTCTTGCGTTTCTCCTTTGTAAAATGGGATAATTTGATTTGCAGTTTGCCTTGAATACTGAGGAGGAAACAGTCTTCTATTAAAATACTACATGATAGAAGACATTGTTTATTACCATTATTGTTACTCTGTGGCCACAAATGTGATCATAGAAGAGAACTCGAAACCTTGCTAGTTAATAGTGACAATACCACTGTCCAGAAAAGGAATATAGAAATGGCAAACTAAGTAGCCCAGAACATAACTAGTTAGTGGAATTCTGTGTGATCATCAAATACCAATTAAAAGTAGCTATGAACCAATTGGTTGGCACAGAGCTGAGATAAAAAGAACATGGATGAGAGTTACAAGGTACAATTAAGTTGGGACAAAGCTATCCCCATGTGTGGATGATAGAGCAGAATGGCTGTTGGTGAGTGAGAACACAGATCTGTGGATCTTTCTGGAAGCCTTAAGGACAAAAATAAGAAAGGAAAAGGAAATTTCCAAAGACTTGTGGTCTAAAAGGGAGAATTGCATCTGGATAGAGGAAAATAAGAATGAAGTGACATTTAGAAATTGCAGCAAAGGAAAAAGGAGGAATCCTGAATTGAAGATGATTTCTAATTCTTAAATACGTCATCAGAACCCCCGAACCAATGTAATTTTAAAATATTTCCCTGGTTAAAATAATGCAAGTCTAGTGATTAAAAATCAAAGCCCTGCCATCTTTGCAGCTTCCTCTTATGTGTCAGGGAGGAGGAGTGAAGGAAACTGCTATGTTTCTCCTGGAACAGGGGCTAGAAACACCAGGATCAAAGTGGCCAAGTGGCTGCCTTCCAAAGGCTCAGATCTCTGAATTCCTCTGTGTCATGCTCCCAGGTTTAAATTTAAACCTCTGAGGACTCCTCAGAGCTTGGATGAACTGAAATTCTTCCTAGAAGCTCTGCTCTGTGCCCGGCTTTGACTCATTCAGTCCTATGGTAGGGTATGCCCTTCCTTGTCCCCATCTCTGACTTTTGAAGCCCTGATCATCCAGAAGACGGATTGCAAATGCCAACTCGCCCACCACCACCCCTTTCAACACATTCATTATTCCCTTTTTTCTCTAGTTCATGTTAGTGTTAATTATCTCCATACAGATCTAGGTTGCCAGGGGGTGGAGATTTGGGGGTCAAGGACTATATCTGGTTCCTTATGCCTCTTTAGGTACCTTCTTCCACTAAATAAGGATGCTCAAAATAAGTATATGAATGATGCCCTTTCATCCCATCCTATATCTTTTCTGGGTTTGGATATTTTGTACCCTAAACTGATAGAACATCATGCAACAGACCCAACAGGAGAGGAAATAATCACAGAATTCTCTGTTTCTTATTGCAGATTCACAGAAGGCTTATTTCCTGCCAGGAAGCCAAGGGATTGCAGTAAAGGGCTACTTTTAACCAAAGACCTTTGTTAAGAGGGATGGAGTCCTTGCTTGGCCTTTCTCTGCCATCTGATCTGCCACTTCTCACATAGTTGCCTATGGACAGGAGGCCTCATCTTGCCGTGCACTAGGAGATCTGGAACTCTCCATTGGTTTTCTGTTGTCAGGTCTCCCTACTAACTAAAGCCAAAAAAATCAAAAAGAATAAAAGATGCTAATTGTCTAAATATGGCTCGTTTGGACTCTAAAAAGAGTTGATCAAGTGTTACTCTAAGTTCATAGGCTTTTTTCTAACCAAGGTGTGGCTTTGAACCTCCTAGTAAGTGAGTTTGCATTAGCACAATGCTCTTTGGCCGGAAAATGCAGCTCCAGCTAAGACAGCTCAGGAGTTGTCTGTTCTAGAAGTGAGTTTAATACCATCCAATCCAACATCCATATTTCAAGAAAAAGCTAAAATCAATGAGGAGAAGGGACTTCTACTAAGTGATATAGTCTGTTACTTGCAAAGATGGAACCAGACTCATGAAATTTTTCAACTGTTCCAGTAAAACCTCCATCTCTGAGGAAAGCAACACTTCAGCTTTCCTTAATAAAGTCTGCTATATCCTCATATCTATCCCAGTCAGAAGACAGCTTCCCTCTTTGTTTACGAAAGGATCAGGAAAATCCGTTCCATAGAATGTGATAGCAGGACAGCTCACTTCAAGCTGAACTTGGCCTTCTCATGTGATGTACCTTGCCTGTTTCTTCTGCATGCAACTCTCTTTCCTGCACATCACCCCCCAACCCCTCACTTCTGTCCATGCATCATCTTCTCCTATGTCTCTTATCCTGAACTGATAGTGCTTCTCTGGTATCCCTACCCAAACACCACCATCCATTGACTATCACATCTCTCTGCTTTTGCAATCTCCATGATGATTACAGAGAATTAAGATTTTCTTATGTATTTTGTTTATTAGCTATCTTCTTACATCCCGATATCAGCCTCATAAGGTTAGGGACTTCATATGTCCCATTCTCTGTAGTATCTCCAGCACCTGGAAGACTGACTGGTGTAGAGTTGACACTCTGCTATTCCCCGTTTTATGCATGAATGAATGGACTAAAAAGCAATCGAGCTCTGTGCTTTATAGACATGGCAGGAGTAATCTACACAGAAATGAAGAGAGGAAATGATCTTTAGTATGAATCCTATTGGCCACACTTAATGACCACATTTTCTTTGTTTCTACAGACCAAGGGGGAAAGAAGACAGTGTGGGGCCAATCATCTTGACTCTCTTGTCTGATGTATTCAAAAAGTCTGCAGGTAGGTAGGGGTCGTATTGCTTGCTAATAAGGAATTCATAATTGCCCTAGGTAGGGGTATTGCTCAAAGGTAAAGGTCATGGTTAGCATGTGCAAGGCCCTAGGTTCAATGTCCAGCACCAGAAAAAAAAATTGTTATAATGTATGTACCTGATTTTATACTACCCAGTGACATATAAGGAATGCACACACATATACTCATATGCTCCCGTTGCCCACTGCCTATTAGAAGCCCCAACAAAAGCTCTCAAAATAAAAATGCATGATGTTATATTTCTCAGAGGAATCTACCTATCTCAGAACCCAAAAGAGCAGAGAGACAGATCTCCTAGAAAAATAAAACAGAGTCCAAAAACAACTGTCTGTCATATTTCAGTGGAAATATTTGTTTAATCCAAGAACTAACAAGGAGGTGTCGAAAAAGAGACTTTTGGACATTGTTTTTTTAGGCAGATGTATTTCCTCTGTATCCAAGGTATACCCTACATTAAGATGTGAATTTATTCCAGCTCAAACTTCTTTTAAAAGTTTTTTTTTTAATAAACAAAGAAAAGCCCACAATGCAATTTGTTTCTCATTATGCCCCATACACGTCCAACTATGGCCAAGAATTTAAAAGGAAACAAATTCAAACTCCAGTTTAATTTCCTTTTCCCTGTGTGGCTCCGAGCTCAGTAGGTGCTCTTGGGAGCTGACAGGGGCAACATTGCACCTATTAGCACTCGTCAACCGAAAGTAGATTGTTCGGGTTTCAAGAAATGTTTTTTGAATTGGATTTAGGTTGGTGAGAAAATAAATTAAGTCAGAAATTCTTTGAGGCAAATTACATATTGAAATGAACAGTTTGATGCATAATCCCTCCACCCCCCTCAAGGGGGAAAAAAAAGAAAGAAAGAAAAGAAAAAGGCAGAAGTCTTGCTTGTCTAAGCTGTGAGAATTTCTGCCGCTGCTACATCTGTGAATGCTTTACAAGGCAGCGTCTACAGTCTGAGTTTTACAGCCCATGTTTGACTGGCATTTGCTTGACATCTGTGGCTATATTTTTGGAGAAATTTCAAAGCTCGTGATTTCCAGTTTTTAATCGCTAGAGTATTTATTTTTTACCCTGGCATAATTGTTCATGGCTCCACATTTAATTTTTTATGAGAGACAATGCAAAAATGAAAATCAGGGTGAATTAGTCACTTGATCTTGTATCTGTCAAGGCTTGATGGCTCGTACCTGCTCTGGAAGCCAGAAGGCAGTGAGCTGACCTCACCGTGTTGGAAAAACTGAACACACTGTTATTGTCAAGGGCCAGACACTCACATCCTAAGAACAAAGGGAACAGGCGAGGCTAATGAGGGAAGAGGCCATGCTACCCTGACAAGCACACTGTATCTTGCCCCCTCTGTTCAGAACCTGGGGTCATGTTTGTGGTCACAGGTGCCACCTGCAGAAGGTTGGGCTGTGCGTAAATGATTTTCACCCCTTTCTACTGAGAATGGAAAGCACCGTAATGGAACAGCCTTCTTCTCAGGAAGTAAAGAAATAGGCACTTGGTTTCCCATGTGGTTTAGTCCAACGGTGTGCTCAGGTGTAAGGACCAGAGCAGAGGTACACACAGGAGCTCACCAAGGTTCCTGCTGCCCAGCCTTGAGGGATCAGGGCCTTGGCTCCTTTCAAGATGCTTTTGGATTCTGCTATTTCAGCTTGAGAGACAGCAGTCAGTCATCAGACTCATATGGAAGAAGGTGAGGTTGGTGCAAGAGTTGGTGTTCACAAGATTCCTTCCCATAAACCTCTGGGCGAGGTAGACTGAATGAAAAGGAGGGCCAAGGCTTAGATGTTTAAGAACGCTGTGAAATAGAGGAACTAGGAGAGAAAAAATTAATAGATGGTGCTCTGAGGAGCTTTGCCTCCCCCTCCATGTTGCTGGCTTTGCTTTTCTCCAAGCCCTCCTTCACCCTGAGCTCTGCCTGGGCAAGTCCTGAGCTCCTGGAATGCACAGTCTTTGCCTCCCTTATCTCCAGCTAATCACTAAATAGCAGGTGGTGAAGATTCTGTTTTTCATCTCTCTGGCTCTGTCCTCTCCTCTCTTTAACTCATTTCCTCGGGGCTATGAATTTCTGAATCTTAAACAGGAAACCTCCCTGATTTGTTCACACCTGGAGAGAATCTGGTCTCTCTTTGTTTGGAGACTATAAAAAGGAGCAGGGAGAATCAAGGGAAGGAGCTGTTGTCTAAAGAGGGAAGAGAGATGTCAGCGTTTGAAACCTTGACACGCACTCTGAGAGGCACGTACACATGCACATATTTTAAACTAAGCATTCTTTCTTTCAACTCCTATATTTCCCTGCTCATCTCCACTCCCAGAGAATGTCGCACAAGACAAAGAGTATTTACTGTGTGTCACTTCAGTTATCAACACTCCACACAAACAGGCTGACAGAGGAAACAGGCAAAGTATCTTTCAGGCCTGTTTGGGGTTGAAATAACAACCAAGTCTGCCTAGGGGCTCCAGGAGATTAGCTTACTTTTTTGCTCCTACAAATGTTAGAAGCTGGCTCTTGAGAGAAGCTGTCATCAACATGCCTGTGCCTGTGGGTGTCAGGAAGTTTCAGCCTTCTTTTAAGTTCCAAGTTCTGTCTTCTTCATGGACTTTCCATTATTTTGGAAAGGACTATAGACAGTCCAGGCTCCTACCTATAAGTCATCATTTTTCTCTACACTCAGAGACCAACATTTTAAGCTCTCTTAGGAGGGAAATGACATAAAATATTGGAAACAAGGATGTCAACCCAAGCCCATAGTTTCCAATCTAAGGTCCTTGAACCACATGGAAACACCATATTTGCACAAAACAGTGTCTACAGATTGGCTAAACAGCAGGACTCTCTCTTCTCTCTCTCTCTCTCTCACACACACACACACACATAACATGCACATACAGTCTAACTCTTCTAATGTATCTATTCAGGACTCTCTCTTCTCTCTCTCTCTCTCACACACACACACACATAACATGCACACACAGTCTAACTCTTCTAATGTATCTATTCATCTCATCTACAAATAGCACAAAATCCCTGCTCTGTGCTAAGTGCTGCGTATACAACAGATAGTGAACAAGTCAAACTAATTCTGCCCTCACGCGGCTTCCAGTCCAGTGGTAAGATAGGTACAGACAGCTGCAGCAATAAAGAATGACAGAAATAACTCAGACTTGGGATATCCTATAGAGAAGGTTGTGATTAATAGAACTTAAATTCCTTTAAACGTGGCAGTTTCTGTGTGCTATTAAGCATGTGTTCTACCAATGTCGTCCTAAGTATTTTTATCTGCAAATCTATACATTTTTCCCCCAGTCCCAGGTGAATGAGTGAATAGCAAGAGTATTTCACCAATATTTTAGCAAACTTCAGGAGGGCAATTCTTCCTTAGATTTGAATTGGCTTTGTTTCACTGAAAGTTAATGCTACTTCTCTGGGGAGTTCTGGATAAAAACAAGAAAGAACAAACACATTTTCATAAATTCCATCTTCCCTGGGGCAGCCCTGTCTCTGCCCTTGACATGGGTGAGGTCGGAGGCAAAGGCTGTGGTTGATTTTGGTATGCTGTGAAATAGCAGGCCTGGAGCCACAGGACATGACTTGTTGGTCTATTAGACATGCTAGATGATCTCCTGAAACAAAGAAATAAAGCAAAGATTAGATGGGTGGATTTAACTGTCATGAATTATGAATGCAAAAAATTGCCCAGAAAATAGAGCAATAGTTGAATAGGGGCCAAGCAAGATTATGAACAAGAAAACTTGTTCAATAATGAGCTAAATGAACTTAAATCAAAATGAACTTAAATCAAAAAGAGCTACCAAATCTCAGCTCTTAATGGGGTCTCTCTGTGCATATTCAAGGGGATAAGTTTTACAGGGAAGAATTGGGTTGTAGTTCTTGTAGAGCCCTTGTCTGGCGTGTATAAGTCCCTGTGTTCAACCCTTGGTACTGCAAAAGAAGGAATTGTCTTAGTGTTAATTCTTAAATGACAACATGTTGGGCACTGAGCCTACAAATGCCAATAAAACATGGTACTTCAACTGTCTTCTTTTAGTAAAGAAAAATCACAGAGCAGGCACTTTATGCATATTTGTAGATTATATGAATAGATACGTTAGAAGTGTTAGACTGCATATGTGTGTGAGTCTTGCTGTTTAGCCAATCTGTAGACACTGCTTTGTGGCAATATTCATTTAGAGATAATTAAATAGTATTTTGAGCACTGTAACAATGGGCAGAGCAATAGCATAGGGTCCAGATCAGTGTGTATAAGAGTTGGGGTTTGGAGGCAAGAGACAGGGTCCATCCTGGTTCTCTAATTCAAGTCAGGTAATTTGTCCTGACCTGAAAAAGGACAAAAGTTACTTTCAGCACCTAGATCTATGATTCCAGGTCCAATACCAAGAAGGGCTTCTGGTAAGCTCTTCCTAACATATCTGGTCTCAGTTATCCTTCCTATAGAATCTCTCCCAACAGGATAGAAACTCCACCTATTTTCATTATGCCTGGGCTGTGGGATGTGACCCGAGAAATATCTGTCTTCAGGTCTCCTCCAAATCATTCTGTGGAGAAGACCTATTGAAGGCAGGAATCAAAGAGCCAATGGTGAGGCCAACTTGGGGAGTATTCTTTAGGAAAAGTGATCTATTTATTTAGCACGAAGAAATATAAATGCATGATTGAATGTCTCCCTGCCCACTCTCCTCCACTCTCAACTATCACTATGGGCACAAAGAGAAGAAAGAGCTCAGCAGATCTTTGGCACAGTTAGATGGCATCCGTTTTCAGGCCTGGTTTTTCACTGAGGTAATATCTCTACCTGCTGCCAACTAGACCTGTTGGTGTATGTAACGGTTGCTTCATTCTGACTCATCACACCTTGCTTGTGGCAGTGAACCCAGGAGCCATTGTTTCCTGGTGATCTCTGGCCTACTTTTTCCAAAATGATCTAAGGCAGCCACAGAGCATTGTGAGATGGACTCTCCCTCCTTCAGTGAGCCAACGGCCTTTGACACAGCTGCTACCTTTGCAGGCGGAGTTGTGCAGAAGGGGGACTCTTCCAGGGAAGTCATAATATGGAAGTCGCCGTAAAAGCATTCCAGGTTCTGCTAACTCCAGAAGGACCTTTGAAGAGTGAAATCTGAGAGCTCGGGGACCCAAAAGGTACCACCCAGGCTGTGATGTCCAGCATCAGGGCCTTGAGGGGAGGAGCACAGTGGGAAAAGCCCTATTAATTTGAACTCAGATAAACCCCCACCCAGAACAGTCCTAGAGCTGCATCTACTTCCACATTCCTTGCTATATTTTAATTCCACGTCTACTTCTCCCTGACACTTGGTTCAAATATCACCTCTTCCAGGAAGTCTTCATCCAGCTGCCCAGTGCAGTAGGTGCCTCTTGATGGCATCCTAACGCCCTCTGGATGGCTCTGTCAGTGTACCACACTGTTGCAAAATGACCTGTCTTCCTCACCTAGACCATGAACTTCCTGTAGACCTGAACCGACTCACCTTCATCTTTATTTCCTGTCCATAGTTTAATACATAGACTTGTATGAGTAAAAGGTCTAGGTCTAGGTCAACTGCTTGTTGGCAGTGTGTTCTGGGCAATACAATCTGCTTCTCTGAGCATTAGGTTTGTCACCTGCAGACTGGTGAGAAATCCATGTCTCAGTGGGCTGTGGTTCATACTGTTCTACAATACTGACATATGGGCACAGAGAGTTGATTCACTTAGAGCCATAGACCTGCACAGGAATGATGCAAAAAAAGAAAAAAGAAAAGAAAGAAAGAAAGCAGAAATCTCGTTTCAGTTCAATAACGATTCCCATAGTCAGTTTGTGATGCCTTTTCTCCATAGACACATTGTCCCAACCATTAGCATCAGCACTGCTAGAAAGAACAGAAGTTTCCTCTCACAACCCCAATGCCTTTCTTTCTCTGACCCCATGCTGGGGGTGGAACTGAGGGCCTCATGGATGTTAGAGAGTGCTTGACCACGGACCTATATCCCCAGCCCTCTTTTTTTTTTTTTCTTAAATGAGAAACATAAGCAGGTCATTCTTAAAAGCTTCCCTGGGAATCCAGTATCTCTAATTACCTTGATTGATTAACATATTCTTATTATTTCTCCCATTGATTCTACAAACCTGGACTTCCCCTATTACATATAGGTCAAGTGAGGTCAAGCTTACTCAGAGAGTTTCTGATGGTTTATCCAAATGCTTTGGGAAGGAAGAGAGGAAGAAGCAGTGGTCTGAGCCTCCAGGAAACTTAATAAGTCGCCCAACAGTTGGAGAGCTTGTTGAATGTGTTCAGTAAAGTTTCAATGCTACAGGTAGGGAAAGAGGGCAGACTACCGGAAGACCATAGAGCCACCATGTTAGTGAATGCTGCTGGTCCCAACCCATAATATATTGCCATAGACCCATCACTACCCATCATCCCCAGCCATGCAAACCACATGTACACACATGCACCAGCGCACATGCACACACACACACACACACACACACACACACACACACAAGCACACCTACCCCAACGCGCATGCTGCCTGCCCCCTTTGTATACTTACAGGACTGCTCACTGATCAAGGTCCCCAACTCCTGTAGTTAGTCAGGTGGAATCAGAGCCCATAAGTCATCTGGGGTTACTCTAACCCAGGGTTAATTTATTAAGCAATCATTTACTGAGCAAGTCCTGATGGTTTCTAGAACATGCTTGACAGTTTTTCCTCCCAAAATCACCCCATGAAAGAGAAACCATGTCAGTCAAACATGAGTCCAAAGTCTGGCATGAAAACATGACCAAGGAAGAGAACCTTGCGGAGCCTGGGTATGGATCATTAGCATTTAATTCATTCTGCAAGGGCACACCAGGTCATACAGAATCACCCAGGGACCCACAGAACAATCTTAAAGTGGAGTGAAGGCTCAGGGGCTAGGAGAGAAGAGCTAGGGGTGGAAGAAGAACAGAGGGAAGGGAGAGACCTGCCATTTTAAAAGTCAACAATGACCAGAGAGCCAAGAAGAATTATCACTTTGCCATGGTCACCTCCAAAGTGTCCTGGATGACATACACTTCCACCTGAGAGGTGAAGGGAAGGGAGTTCCTTACAGAGAAACAGAGAGAGAGAGTGATAGTGAGGCTTAGTTTAGATTTGGCAACTCGGGCTACTAGGAAGACTGCAAAACGAAAAGGCAGAGCACAGCCGATTTTTAGGTCAGTGAAATCACTCTACGTGACACTACAGTAGTGGATATGTGTCATTATACATTTGTTCAAACCCAGAGAATGAACAACACAGAGAGTGAACCCTAATGTAAACCACGGACTTTGGGTGATAATGATGTGTCAACATGTGTTCATCAACTGTAACAGATGGGCCGCTCTGTGGGGGATGTTGATAATGGAAGAAGCAGTAGGTGTGTGGATGCAGGGAGTAGAAAGAAAAATATCTATCCCTTCTGATCAATTTGGCTGTGAACCTAAAACTGCTCAAAACAAAAATTCTATTGAAAATTGAAAAATAACTTTTAAAACCTCACATGTTCTCAATTTCTTTGATAGCGCTCCTAGAGAGGGTTAGGTCTACAACCGCAGGCTCCTGACTTCCTTGAAATGAAGTGGATGTGGCAGAAGTGATTATCTGGGACTTTCAAAGGTAGGTGGAAATGGGTTTACAGTTCTCATCTTCTTGGAAACATTAGCACTTGGAGCCCAGAACCCTGAGCTGTTGCATAAGAAATTCCCCCACATGGAAGCCGCCATACTGGGAGGAAGCTGAAGCAAAGGGAGTGGATTTGGGCAGGGTGGGTAAATTAGCTTTCAGTGACATCTGAGGTCCCATTTTAGAGCCAGCATCACCTGCCAGCCTTGTGAATGCATCAGCCTCCTAATGATCCCACCGTGAATTCCCCCCAGCCTTTGAATCCCTCCAGCTGAGGCTGCAGGCATTGTGGAACTAAAATATAACAGTCCCTCCATGTACTGTTCAAATCTCTGACTCACAGAATCCAATCCGTGAGCTGAATGAAAAGATTGTTTTATGCCACCAAGTACGGGTGATCTGTTGTGACTGGCAGACCTTCTTCTAGCAATCCAGTGATCCAGGAGGCAAATGGTATTCTAGAAGGAAGAAAGGAATGCACAGACCAGAGAGTGGCACTGCAGGAGAGGGACAGTGACCTCAGCAATACTGTCTGAATTCTTTTCTCTTTTGAGATGGAAAAGGAATCCAATGTAATCACATTTCACAGGTGACCCTGGACCTGCTTCTGGTAGAGCAGCAGTTATTGGGTGCTCACCTGGCCCCTCCTTTACTGCCACCTAACTTCCCTACTTGAGGAAGACAGGAGACTCCCACTGCGCAGAAGTCCCTGCGGTTGAAAGCCAAATGACTTCGCAGTGGGACATCTGTCTATTTCAAGTTGGCTCCCTGGAGAAATGCTGCAGTGGGCCTGATTTGAAAACTTGCAAGTCAGGAATTGGTTCCTCACAGCCAGACAGGGAAGTTCCCTCCTGGGGTTTCAGCCTGGACAGTCATTTCTAGAGCCAGGGCTTCTGTCGCTTCTTCCCTCACCACCTCCCAGGAGGGGTTTAGGAAGTAGTGAGAATTTTGTCTCCCCCAAAGGTGTCCAGAAATTTCCCTGAGATTGTTGACAGTTGTCATCCTAAATGAGACTCTAATCAGCACAGGGAATGCTGATTTAACCTCAGCTTCCAAGTGTTACATATGGTAAAGTGCAACACTGTTTCCCACAACTTGGAAAAAAGACCACCTTCTCACTCCTAGGAGACCACTAGGTGTACGCATGTATCCTCATTTAAATAGAGGATTTATTACAGCTCAAGTTCATTTTCAGAAAAGCCTTATATATGTTTACTCTAAGAGGAAAGGAAGGCTACATTCAGTTGGGAGACCACAGATTCACCTAGAAGCAGGTCACAGGTTGGGAATCATTCAGTACCTCTGAAGCCCCTGGGGATAGAAATTGTCAGACTACAAACATTCAGTGGAGAAGTGGAGAGTTTCCATAGCTGCTGGGCTCACCCGTTGACCTGTTTTGGTTTTTCTGAATAGCTTTATTTTTCAAGAGTCCACAATGTTTTCAGAAGTCCTTCTCACCTATTTTGGTTTGGTCCAATTTCGATTTCCTCCTTCACTTTTGGTGGATTCATGAGACTTGAAGAGATCAACTATTCAAATTAGAAAAAAACGTTAGGAATGACCTAGATCAGCAGGCACACTGGCACACCCCTATAATCCCACTATTCAGGAGGCTGAGGCAAAAGGACTACAAGTTCAAGGCTAGCCTGAGAACTCAATGGGACCCTATCTCCAAATACAAAATTAAAAGGTCTGGAGATGTAGTTCAGTGAGGCAGGAGGGGGGGCGGCGGGAGTGACTTGTCCATGGTCACTATTCAGCACTTGCTAGTCAGGGCTGGAATTAGAGACCCTGGTTCCCAAGCCAAAGCTCTTTGCAATGTGCTCAAACTCCCAAGGTGAACCTACTTCCTGAAGAAGATGGATGAATTAACAGAATCTGCTGCTAGAGATCAACCTATAAGCCTTCTGGTACCAGAGGTCCGATCTGCCTCCACACTCACTCCTTCCACGTCTCCTCCTACCCCAATCCCACTAGAATATTTTAGAAGTGAGCAAAAGCAATCTGCTAAGGCAATGCTCTGTTATTCAGGAATCCTCGGAATTAAAGCTCCTGGTCATTTTAGAAATTAAGACTTTGCTACCCATTGCTCTCTTATTCTCCTCCTCAGCCTGGCTCTGATTTCATATCTGCTTTCCTGTTTCCTGGACTAATAAAGCATTTCACATGGCCAAGCTTCTAACATAGACTTCTTTTTTTTAATAAATGCAAATAAAGATACTTGTGATCAATGTGATGTTCTGGGGGGTATTCGATAAACTATATCCGTTGAGCACCTTGAACATGTTTAGAAACATACCAAGAAAACGAGAGTTATTTACAGATAATGGAGAGCCTACTTCAACATTAGAAGTCGAATAGAAGGTTAGACCACTCTACATTATGGCTGTGTATCCTACTAAAACTTAGGGCTTTATACCATTTCAATCTTACAGCCCTTGCAACTTCAAGCATAAGTGTTTTTCACATATGAGGACTTTTATAAATATTCTTTAAATTGAACATTTTAATGTAGTGAGGATCTTCTATATAATAGACAGAATATTCAGTGTTTTAATAGCTTTTAAAAAAAATTGTTCCCATGACCACCCTGTATCAGTTATTTGTTACCACAGTAATGATGTTTTACAAACAACCCTAAAGATTAGTGATTAAAACCATGACCTTCTACTATTTCCTGTGTCTCTGGCTGACCAATGCTGCTTACCTGGGCTGGGCTCAGTTGGTCTCTGTGAAAGATGTTTCTGTGTCTGTGATCAGTTTGCTAGCAGGTGGGCACTTTGATCTAAGTGGGCTTAAGCAAGGGTGGCTGATGGGGCCTCTCCCCCAACAATTTTTATTTTCCAGCAGACCAGCCCAACTTTATGATGACCGTGGCAGGTTTCAAAAAGCAAGTGGAAACATGCACAGCCTCTTGAGGTCTCAGCTCAGAAAGGGCACACCATCAGACTGCACTTTGTTGGCCAAACAAGTCACAAAGCTGGTCCCCAAACCAGGGACTGAGGAAATCAATTTCACCTCTCAATAGAAGAAGCAAGAAAGTCATGTTGCAATGGGTTATAGAATTATGGTCAGTTTTGCAATCCATCTACCACGTAAGTCCAATTTTTAATATGGACAAAAAAAATAGAGATTAAAAAAACTATTGAAAATGATGTAAAACTGGATTGTGGTGATGGTATCACAGCTATAAATTTACTAAAAGTCATCGAACTGTGCACTTACAATGGCTGGATTTTATGAAATGTAAATTATCCGTCAGTAAAGCTGTTGAGGAAAAAAAACTGAAAAAAAATGTAAATTTATTGAAGATCATTCAACTTGTAATTGTCCAAATCAGCATTTAAACTCGGGTACTCTAGCATGAAACTCAATAATCTTTCCATTGCAATGTATTTATCAGAACCCAAGTATTAGATTCTCAGAATCAGGGAGCCTAAGAACTACAAAGAACTTCTACCGATTATTTTGCCCATCGCTCTTTTAAGCCTTTGAATGTGTTAGCCATCTAGAGCAGGTGCATAAATCCCCATCTTAACTTGAAAAATAGAAACAGCTCTAGAGGAAACCAAGCCAGGTAAAAATACACCTCATCTTCTCATGTGTTTTTGGAATCCAGGATGATTACAGCTGGAAAGATCTCGAACCACTGTTCTTTCCAGAATCAGAAACCACAGACAGTTCTTGAGATTTTAGCTCCTCTTTTACGACAATGACCATATACTTAGTAGCCAGCATTCATGATGTGATCAGATTCTTGTATTCTCAGCATTAGCATTTTTCTTCTATTTTCAAACTCAGAGTCGAAATCTAAATGTCCTCTTTGGGGCTAACAGTGGTTACATTTGAATTAAAATTCATCCAAGTTACTCCTTTTGCAGGTTAAAATCTCTGACATGAGGACTGTAGGAAAGAGAATCAGAATCGTTTTCAAAAGGAAGATGTGTACAATGTGCTCCTTCTCTTGTGGACATTAAGGGGTCTGAGAGGATGAACAAATGGAAAGGGGCCTGGTTTTATCCTGTAATTTGGACTTGTTTAAGATGAAAGAGAGAGAGAGAGAGAGAGAGAGAGAGAGAGAGAGAGAGAGAGAGAGAGAGAGAGAGAGAGAGAGAGAGCGCAATCCCGAGGAGATGCATCCAAGCTCTCCATAAACAGAGCTTTGAAGAGCAAATTGAGCAGCTTTCACCAATCACGCACAGACCACATCAAAAGCTGCCCGAGGAGAATCACTGGCTGGATGTCAGGCAGGGTCAGGCGAACGTTATCAAACGCTCTTTCAAGATACTATGAACCAGAATCAGAGGGAGAAAGGGAGGTAAGAAGGAGTGCCAAAAACACGATCACTCGGAGCAGGGAGGCAAATAAGGCAGTGGAGATGCAGTGGCGGCAGAGCTGATGACGTTTGTGGAGGAAAGAGAAAGAAAGGCAGGGTGGGGGAGGGGCACAGAAAGCTCTATCTACATAGACAGCGGGAAACTGAGAGCCAAAGACAGAAGCCAAAGAGACAATGTAGCCAAACAGAGCAAACTGCAAATCAACAGTGAAAGAGGCTTGGAGAGGAAGGATCAGAAGAAGCAAGGTGGCAAGAAACAGGCTTTCTATGGGAGAAGGAGCAGGGGCCAGAGTGGCCTTCACCTCCGCCACCTGTCCTGAAGATTGAAGTCGGCAGGAACATCGGTTGAAAACTAGCAAGAACAGTTCTATTTCCCACGGGGAAGAGCATCATCACATCTCTGGAAAAGGGGGTAGAGCGGAAAGCAAAGAAAAAAAAAAAAACACTCCAACTGTCTTCCTCCCCAGCTCCTTAAATTATTTTTTTATCCCCTACAAAGGGCTATTTGATCATCCTGCCTGCTTCACTTGGGCTCTGAAAATCGGAGGGAACACAGTCATTAGAAAGCAGCCCAATGTCCACCCAAGTCCCCACTGGAGTGATTTCATCTTTTATTACAGCAAAGCTGGGGCAGTAATGTATCAGCTCGAGTGATAAATCTGCCTTCTTCGTAGATCAAGTTCGATTTTCCAACTAATTGGAGGGAAACAAACTCACTTGTGGATCAAAACCGAGCAAATTTCCCCATCTCTGTAAAGGACCCAGCTCTGTCCTAATCAAGAGGCGAGGGCCTGGCTGCCTAGGTGTTCCATGTGGAGCTCTGGGGAAGCAAAGGTCAGCGGGAGGACACCAGGGGTGGGGTTGGGGCGGGGGGTGCCTGTGCACCAAGAGGAAAACCCAGGCCATGGGGATGGAGGGACTTTCTCCAAAGCAAACTTTGCTCCTTTTACATGCTTACCCTATAAAAAGATATTTGAGATCAGAACACAGTAGAAGACAGGGTTCTAGAGACAGCCTAACTATTAGCACACCTTACACATTGGTTGGGTCCATGTCACACAGCCCACATCACAAAGATGAGGCCAAACTTACCATGTGAAAAATCTCTGAGCTTCAGGATAAATGGTGCAGTCATTGGTCAAGACAGAAGGTAGCATTATTGTAGGTAACAATAAGGTTAGGGAGCTTCCTGACTTCTCTGTTTCTCTTTATAAAAGCCAAAGACCAGAAAAATGGTCTATAATTACTGAGCCATCGGCACGTAATTACAACACCTCTTGCCTGGGCCAACGTGGCAAATAACTTCATAGCACTAATGAGTGTCCTGAGGTCCTCTTCCCGCCCCCAGCTCTACCTGGAAGAATGCTGACATAAGAAGCCATACTAGTCCACCCCATAGAGCAAAGGGGTCAGAATGCAGGCCGTTCAGCCATCTGCTCAGATCTTATCTCCATCTCTTACTACCTGATGACTTTAGACACTTCACTCAACTTCTCTGAACCACAGTTACTTCCTCTGTAAGATGGGGGCTATAAAAATACCCTAATACCAGGTCATGTTAAGATAAAATTAAAAGCTGAATACAGAACATTGAAGAGAATGTTTAGCATCTAATAAGCACTCCCCAAAAGCTATGATTATTATTATATTTTTCCACCTCTTCATCTTATCTGAAGCCAAAAAGAGAAACAGGCAAACCAAGAGAAATTGCTTACATAAAAGCCAGATAGAGCCTGGCTGTTTCATCGAAGGCAATAATTATAAAGCTGCTTCATAGCACAGAGTTCCAAGAATGGAATACACATTTGGAACAAGTTCATTAAAAAATTGCTTACTCATAAAAACGACTACCATTACAGCCTGACAAATGGAAGACACATACCCAATAAATAAGAAGCTGGCAGTCCACAATCTGACTACACCAAGAGTCCCTCAGTTCCTCTCTTCCCATCTTTCAACTGTTTCTTAGCCTTTTACGGGGTTATAATGGCAGGTTCGGGTAGGTTTTGTGTGCCTGTTTACTCTGAGTTTTTTCCCACAAACTCCAAGTACAAGGAAAAGCCTCCAGACTTCTCTGGTTTGTCTCCCAGAATGGAACAAAGCTACCATGGCACCCAGGAAGACTGGTGTACAATTCTCTGCACAATACAGTTGACTTCTGAAATCTCAGCACCCTTGTTATAGCACCTCCCCTCATGACTCATTGGCCCATTTCAAGGAGAATTATCTTCTGGCCAGTCTGTGTCCTGCCACCTTGCCCCAGTCCAAATGGGCACCTTTGTAGTAGTGACATGAGCCCTAGATGAGAGGCCAGGAGACTGGGATGATAATGGATCTCAGACACTTACTTGCTAGACATTGTCACTTAACTTCTCTGAGCCGCAGTGTTCCTATCTCTAAATGGGGATAATGATTACCTCCATCATTCCTATGAAATCAATATGTTCATAGTCATGAACTTGCCCTATACAGTGGTATGTGGGGCAGACGTTGCAGTTAGTCAATGATTAAGCATTCCCTACCAGAGCTCAGTCCTATGAGCTTGGGGTGGGATTGGCAATGTGTGTGGGGCAGAGGGACGGGCAGCCCACCAGGCCTCTACCCTCAGAGTTTTGACTCACAATGCAGTAGAAATCAGTGAGGCTCCAAAATGCTTTCAAAGAACTGTAGATAGAACCTGAAGAAAGGGGATGAGGAGAACTGGGCAGTGGTGCCCTCCCTTCACTCACTCCCTACCCTGCCCTGCCCTGCCCTGCCCCAGCTACGTTTTGCTCCCTTGCCAAAGAAAAGCCAGCACCCTTAGAAAGGCAGCAGCCTTCACAGAGCCTGGGGCCAAAC